TTTTATTTTTTGTCTATGCTTAGTTGGCAGGTAATGATTGCTAAAAAAGGGGTGCAGAAAATAGATCTAAAATTTAAGGGCCGAAGCACATGAAGATTTTGTTTTTGGGGCCTTGACACAATTTTTCCAAGTATTAAATAGGCTACTAAGTTTAAATGGGTTAAATGCAAATGGTCTACTACTCTCTCTAGTGCGGTGGGATGCAAACTTTTTTTGTGTAGGGAGAGCAGATTGTAACTTTAGTTTCAAATGATAATCCCCAAAGCATATGGGTGCAACTGCACCCCTAGAGTAGTAAGTACATCGCCTCAGAACCCAAAAATAATCTAGCACATCTTAGCTTACCTTTTATCTATTCCTCTATACAAAGAGGATGATCCAAGAATCACTATTCATGCAGTAATTGTTTGTGAGGCCCACTTATTTCCACTGACATATTTCCCTCGCAAATAATAATGAAGAAACAGATTTCGAAAATCAAATCTCTGCTAAAAATAACTATTATATCCTCAATTATGTTGTCATATCGCTCTCCTTCACAAACACAGACGCTTCCTCCCCTCTTCTTTTCTCATTCTCCCACCTCGACTCAGACGATCCACCTCCTCCTCCCCCCGGCATCGTCAGCAGGCTCCTCATCCATATGACGCTACTTCTACTCTACACTAACCCTAACCCTAAAAACGCTTTTATCCTCATGCCCACCTAGCTTGCCCCTTCCCTACATCGCCTCTGTCCTTCACCCTTCACCTGAAGAATATGACGGCCATAGACTGCACTAAAATGCCAAGTTATCCATCCGTAAAGAAGAGGAGGATATATGGGTGATTTTGGTCTTCGACCTTCAATCAGTAAGATTTCAAATAATCTTGAGAATTTTCCCTAATACTTTCTAGGGTTTTATTATTGGCCACAATTTTTTTATAACCGATTTTCTGAGATTTATTCTTGACTCCCTTGCTCAGATTTGCGGTTAAGAAGATCAATTTGAGAATCTTTATGGACATTTATCTTTCTCTTGGTTTCAACATGAAATTAGACTTAAAACAAGTTGAATTAGACTTAACATGAATTAAATTAGACTTGAAACAAATTGAATTAATTATAATATGATTTAAATTAGACTTAACATGAAATAAACTTTTATGTTAAGTCTAATTCAACTTGATTTTAGACTTAACATGAAAGAATAGAGGAGATAAGGACATTTTAGAATTTTTTTTACTTTTTATTTTCTGTCTATGCTTAGCTGGCAGGTAATGATTGCTAAAAAAGGGTGCAGAATATAAATCTAAAATTTAAGGCCTGAAGTACATGAAGATTTTGTTTTCGAGGCCTTGACACAATTTTTCCAAGTATTAAATAGGCTACTAAGTTTAAATGGGTTAAATGCAAATGGTCTACTACTCTCTCTAGTGCGGTAGGATGCAAACTTTTTTTTTGTAGGGAGAGCGGATTGTAACTTTAGTTTCAAATGATAATCCCCAAAGCATATGGGTGCAACTGCACCCCTAGAGCAGTAAGTACATCGCCTCAGAACCCAAAAATAATCTGACACATCTTAGCTTATCTTTTATCTATTCCTCTATACAAAGGGGATGATCTAAGAATCACTGTTCATGCTACAGTAATTGTTTGTGGGGCCCACTTATTTCCATTGACATATTTCCCTCACAAATAACAATGAAGAAACAGATTTTGAAAATCAAATATCTGCTAAAAATAACTATTATTTCCTCAATTATGTTGTCATATCGCTCTCCTTCACAAACACAGACGCTTCCTCTCCCCTCTTCTTTTCTCATTCTCCCACCTCGACTCAGACGATCCACCTCCTCCCCCCTCCAACATCGTCAGCAGGCTCCTCATCCATATGACGCTACTTCTACTCTACACTAATCCTAACCCTAAAAACGCTTTTATTCTCATGCCCACCTAGCTTGCCCCTTCCCTACATCGCCTCTGTCCTTCACCCTTCACCTGAAGAATACGACGACCATAGACTGCACTAAAATGTCGAGTTCTCCATCCGTAAAGAAGAGGAGGATATATGGGTGATTTTGGTCTTCGACCTTCAATCAGTAAGATTTCAAATAATCTTGAGGATTTTCCCCAATACTTTCTAGGGTTTTATTATTGGCTACAATTTTTTTATAACCGGTTTTCTGAGATTTATTCTTGACCCACTTGCTTGGATTTGCGGTTAAGAAGATCAATTTGAGAATCTTCACGGACATTTATCTTTCTCTTGGTTTTTAGTCTAGAACGATTCCATGCTCACGTTTAAATCTCGAGGTATTTATTTTATCAAATTGGAGGCTCGATCAATAAATTTTGTTTTTTATACTTTACCGAGCAAAATTTGATTGCTTATTTAGGTAGTATGTTCTTTTAGGAACAAGGGAAAACCACATTATAGCTTTAAGTTGATCCTTTTAGTGTTGAAAAACTATAACAAACTTGAGAGCTTGATTGGAATGAATTGATATTTTTTTGTGATTGGAATTATTCACTATTTGTACGAATTATCTTCCCCCCCCCCCACTTCTAATTTCAGGTTATAAAGATTTTAATCATTTCACTTGATCGACTTATGTTGTGTGTTTAGTTATCCTCTTTGCTTCAGGCTCAATTTGATTGATTAAAAATTTTCAGGTGAGAATAGAAGAACCAGTCAGTTGGTATCAACTTCTTTTACTGTTAAAGTAGCAAATATTACCTTTTTTAAAGTTTTAGTGTAAGCTTTAGAGAAATGTTAGTCAAAATAGTTTCATTGTAGACTATGTTAACACTCTTCAACTAAATTTGTTAATTATTACACATTTTTGAAGTCATTATATTTGTCTCTATAGCCTTTATTTTTTTCCAATACATTATTGGATCATTTCAAATGCTCATTTTTATGTATGCTCAATTGTTGAAGGGAAATAAACCTAATGTTAAATGTTTCTTCCCAAGTGCTTCTTACAGGTTGATGTTATCCAATCACAATTCATTATATTTTATTTACTAATTGGTTGTTACAGTTTGTATATTTAGTTACTAAGTAACTATGTGAGATAGTGTTTGAGAGATAACTGTTGGAATTGTATTTAAGTCTTCTTCTGAAATCTGTAATAATATTAGTAGTGCTTCAAGCTTTTTAGGAACTATGAAATGCTACTTCTCACGTAAATGCTGCCACTGTAACTCAAAATTTGTGTTATAAATTAGTATAATTGTGAAGACTGTAATATGAATTATAATTTTCCATTATTTCTCTTATTTACTATAAGAATTGAATAACTATTCTATGTAAGAATTTTCAAAGTATGTCTTTTATAGTAACCAATATTTTATTTTCAGATTTGTTGATTAACCTTCACAAATTGATCACAATTCTCTATCTCAAGATTTCCTCTTTGAAAAGAAAAAATTGCAGGTACTTTTTCTGATTTCATTTTGTTAGGGTTTTCTGCATAAAAAGTTCTTTTTTAGTTAGTTTCTAGAGGAATTGATTAAAATATAAATCATGATGATGAATTTGATCTAAATTCTAATTTTTAGTTTTTGGATTATTTAGTTACTTCTTTTAGTATGGTGAAGATGCTAATTTCTATTTATAATGATTAAATTTGATTTAGTTAATCTTAATAGTGACTAATTCTGATCATATACCTAACCCTTATGTTTAAACTTGATTTAGGTAATCTTTTTTGCCTTTTAAATGTATATTTGGTTGCCAAGTTTTAATGGTTTTGTTTGTTCATGGGTTAGGGATTGGAGATTGATTACGTCAGAAATGATGATGGATGGATCAAATCGGAGGGTCAACTCAGTTCATCACAGTTATGATACGGTAATTTTATTTCACTTTTTAATTTTTAATTTTAAATAAATATTTTCATAATTTATGCACTAAAAAGATTGACCTTTATTGTGCTATTTTGGTTTCAGTTTTGAGTAGTTATTTGATCTTTAGAAATTTGGTTAATGATGGCTAGGGATGGTATAACCATGAAGATAAAAGCTAAAGTTTCTAAATTTCGTCAATGACAGTTAAGGATCATTTTTAGAAATTTGGTTAATGACAGTTATGAAAGAATGATCTTTATTGTGATATTTCAGTTTCATGGCACAATAAAGGAATAAATAATTGATGGTAATGCATAATTCATGATTATGTATTTGTAAAGTATATATGTTTTTTATTAGGAACAAAACATTAGAAGGATGTTCTTTCCATTGGTGTGAGTCATATTTTTCTTTGCAAAAGAAAAGATTTTGTGTTTGTGTGGGTAAATTATAAGCATAATAGATAAAGAAGTATTTATAATTATGTGTTTGTAAAGTTTATATCTATTACTATTTTCAGCTTCAATAACCTCACATTCACAATTTGAAACTCTATAGTCATAAATCTATTGATTCCTTTTCCTTCGCCAGCAACTATTGTAAATAATATTGTGATCGGTAGAAATAAGCTAGGCATTTGCAATTTTTGATTCCAGTTGTTTTAAAATTAAATTTCTTAAGTAAGAATGCATCAGTTATTTTTCAAATTATATGTACCATAAACAATTGTTTTTTTTATGGTAGAGAAATTACGAAAGTCATTTTTGGTACATAAAAATTATCATATTATGATGTTTATCTATTTCTAAAAAAAGTACAAACTCATTGGTAGACAAATCCGTGCATTGCACGGTGTGGAACTTTTTTATATGGCAAAAGACCAAAGCAAGGTCACTATACCAAAAGAATGCTTCTATGGATTAATTTTCTGTATAACAATTGTTATTGATTTATTTATTTATTTATTTCACAATATTTATTTTTCTCTAACACTTTGATCCCCACTCATACATTTTCGTAATAATGTGATCTATGGTCATAAATTTCTTTGATAATTAGATGTGTTATATACTTTTTCTAAAATGTCAAAAGTGAATGAATGTTATCAAACCTCTTTAAGTGTGATAAACTCCAAGAGACTCCTCATCCCTTGTCCTTGATCAAATTTAGGGAGTAGGAGTTGAATAATTGGCTCCAACAAGCTCCCTATCCCATATTCCAAATATAGGGTCCTTGTGAACATCTTCCAAATCAAAGACAATAGAGAGGCTCCCTATATCTACAGTGACAAACAACGATTCAAAAAATGCAACGGTCATATTTGCATTCAAGCCCCTCTCATTCTCCTTTCATCTATAAATATTGCATCTTTGTATAGGATAAATTAGTTCATCTCATAATTTAAAAGCACTTGGCATTCTACTATTTTTCTTTAAAGGTAAGTAAATTAGTTCATCTCTTAATTATTTTATTTCTCTCATATTTTATACTTACAACTGATTTATTAGTTTTCATTACATTTTTAATTTTTTTAAACTAATTATAGTGCTGACATTAATTTGTATTTTTTTTGGACAGATGGATTATTACACTTCTCTACTAAATGAGGGATCATTGTCTGATAGTGGTCTACTAGATGAAAATCCCAGTCAATCTGTCATGCCAGTTGAGTCAACTGAAAACAAATTTTCTAGAAAAACTGGACGGACGAAAAACTTCAACGTGGAAGAAGACATTCTACTTGTATCTGCATGGCTCAACATAAGCACGGATGCAGTGCAAGGGATCAATCAAAAAAATGAAAGATATTGGCAAATGGTGCATGATTACTTCCATCAATTCAAGAATTGTGAATCTCAACGGACGGCAAGTTCTTTAATGAAGCGTTGGTCGTTAATTCAACATTTTGTAAAAAAAATTTGTAGCTACTATGCTCAAATTTCAGCAAGGCAACAAAGTGGTATTAGTGAGAGCGATAAGGTATTAATTTTATTCAAAAATTTTAATATCGTATTTACGTATAATAATTTTTAAGTAGGCTTAATTTCTAAATAGGTATGTCAAGCAGTGGAATTGTACACGAGTATCCAAAAGCATCCATTTCAATTTCTTCATTGTTGGAGAGAATTAAAAGATGCACTGTTTGTTGGAAATTTGCAATAAAAGAAATGAAAAAAAAATTGACTTGTATTCCTCTCCAAATCAATTACAATTTGGATTCCAATTACAAAAGAGAGGAGAATGAATTTGATTCTCCCCTTTGTTTAATTCTGGGTTTTTCACGGTGGCGATGGAGTGCCTCCCTCAAATGCTCGCGTCGAGTTTGCTCTCCGTTGACGATCCGAACGTCTTGATTCACTGGAACATGATTTTCTCCTCACGATTTAACGCTGTGGAGAACTTGCAAAGCAAGTTTGAAAATAACTCTTAACGAGTTGATAACTCTGAACGAGTTTTAGAAGAACTTGCAGAGCAAGTTTTGAACTCTGATCGAATTGATAACTCTGGACGAGTTTGAACTCTTGAAAAAGAGTTGATTTGAACCACAAGTCGGTTATAAGCCAAGGATGAATAAGCTCTTGTTGCAGATCTCCCGAGCTCCAGAAAATGCTCTAAGGATCTCCTCTGGTGCTGCCAAGTCCCAGATCCAAAATATGCCAGCCTTTTGACCGAATCTCCCTTTGTTGATGAGAAAAAAATTCGATCCCCAAGATAGCCGCAGATCGCTTCTTTGCTGCCCAAAAAAAGAAGGATCTGAACTCAGTTGAGTTTACCACTATTTATAGGGGATTTAGGGTGGTAACTACCCCCTTAATCCGCTCTTAAGTGGGGCGAAAATCCCTCAAATCGTGGGAAAAACAGTTCCTGGAACTGTTCATTGCGTGCTTTGAACAAGTCAAACGCTGAAAAATAGCGTTCAGGGCCCGAACTCTGCGTTTTTAGACTAAAAACGCAGAGTTGGGCCTATTTTGGTGGCTGAACGCACAGGCCGCATAGCGTGATGAACTCCGAGACGCAGAGTTGGGATGTTTTAGGCTGAAAACGCACAGGTCGCACTGTGCATAGATGAACTGTGCGTTTTTGTTGTTGGACGCAGAGTTAGGTTTTGCATTAACTGTGCGTCTCTGGACTTGGGACGCAGAGTTGAACTCTACATTAACTGTGCATCTCTGGATCTAGGACGCAGAGTTAGGCTGTGCGTTTTTGTTGTTGGACGCAGAGTTGGGCCTGTTTTAGAGATTAACTCTGCGTTTTGATGTTGAAAACGCAGAGTTGAGCCTGTTTTAGGCTGAAAACGCACAGTTCGTGCTGTTTTAGAGATTAACTCTGCGTTTTGATGTTGAAAACGCAGAGTTGAGCCTGTTTTAGGCTGAAAACGCACAGTTCGTGCTGTTTTAGAGATTAACTCTGCGTTTTGATGTTGAAAAACGCAGAGTTGAGCCTGTGCGCTTTGACTCTGTAATGCAGACGCGAACCTTAAGCTGGCTTGGCGAGCTTCAGGCTAAGTCCAATGTTCTGACGAAGTCCAGTCTTGCAGACGGACTTCAGAACATAACTTGCTACGAAGAACAGGTCATAGCTTTCAAACCGTACGTCAGAATTGGACCAATTATATATGAAAATCGGCTATCTCGACGAGACGGGGCCATCCGAACTAAGCCAAAGGCTTCGGTTCGCTTCCTCCGTTTTGCCAAATTCCTTACGGTTTGAGAGATATCTGCATTCTAATATGAAGAGACCGTCAATTTGTAGTCTCTTTTGCTAGAGCTTTGCACAGATCGTCCTCTTGTAATCTTCGTCTTGGCTCCTTGAAAATATGAAAGTCGTCAGATTGTAACTCCCGATGTTGATTGTGAAAGCTGTTGAATTGGGTCTTTCATTAGTTGTTGTGAAGGTCGTCAGATTGTAACCTTCTACGTGAAAGTCCTCAAATTATAGCCTTCTAGAAGTCATCAGATTGTAACTTCCATCATCGGTGTTTGATGGGGGATCAACTATCTATTGTGATTTTTAGACAGCCTACATGCACCAAAGTGGAGAATTGATAGTTCTAAAAAAAAAACTAAAACTCCATACAAATCTGGTCATGCAAGTTCTAGTCCTGCAAGTTCCATTCCTTCAAGTCCAGATATCTAAAACTCCATACAAATCTGGTCATGCAAGTTCTAGTCCTGCAAGTTCCATTCCTTCAAGTCCAGATACAATAAATTTGGGAGAAGATGATATTTTCCATTCCTTCAAGTCCAGATACAATAAATTTGGGAGAAGATGATATTGCTCGTGATACCTTTTCCGAATGATTGGAAAGACCAATAGGAAGAAAAGCTACAAAGGAGCAGTTAAGAAAGGAAAAGGGAAAACGTGCATTTGATATGAGTATGCCTATGGCATTGAAATTTGAAGAGTTCGTTGAAAAGCTTGATGTGAACAATCAGAAGAGACAAGAACAACTTGACATAATATATGCTCAAGAACAAGAGAAGATTCTTATTAAGAAAGAAAAACTCTGATTGGAACAACAAAGAGAAGATGAAAGAATCATGTTAATTGATACTAGTAACATGGATCCAATGCAAGCAGAATATTACAAACAACTCAAGATGCGAATCATTGCTAAAGGAATTGATGGTAGTTTTAATTAGTTGTCATTGTTTAATAAGTATTATGTTGTAAGCTGTGCTATTTTCACTATGTGTGTTTTTATGTTGTTATGTATCATTTTCAATAATTAAGCTTATGTTATTATGTGTGATTGAATTAAAAAAAATTATGTTATCATTGATTGCAAACACAAATCTACATAAAGTCTTGACAAAAAATACAACAGCATAGTACAATAATAGAAAATACAATAATATAGCTGCAAACACAAATCTAGATAGAAAATACAATAATAGTATTGAAAACACACAATGCTTCCTAGTCTCCACCATGTCGTTGCCACAATGCTCAATAAGATTTGCCTGAAGCTGAGAATCTGTTTGTCTGTCTCTAATGCGATGGTGGGCTTGAATAAAATCAAGAAATTGTGGTGTGCGCTCACGAGACAATGATATAATTGGACTTTCATTGATTGCATCATAGTTGAAATCGCATTGATTAATATCTCGCTCGTCTTCAATGATCATATTATGCATTATGATACATGCTTTCATAATATCTTTTAGTACTTCTTGATCCCAAAAGCGCGCTGGTCCACGTACAATTGCAAAGCGTGCTTGGAGGACCCCAAATGCTCGCTCTCCATCCTTTCTTGCTGATTCTTGAGCTTGTGCAAATTTTTTCCTCTTATTTCCTTGTAGAGCAGAAATTGTTTTTACAAATGTTGACCATTGTGGGTGTATACTATCAGCAAGGTAATATCCCATCGTATACTCATGATAATTAATAGAGTATTTAACTGGAGGGGCACGACCTTCAGTAAGTTCAGTAAAGAGATTTGACCTTTCCAAGACGTTAATATCATTATGAGATCCTGGTAACCCAAAAAATACATGCCATATCCAAAGATCGTATGACGCAACGGCTTCCAAAATAATTGTTGGCTCATGGAAGTGACCAACATACATCCTATGCTACGCAGCCGGACAATTCTTCCATCTCCAATGCATATAGTCTATGCTCCCTAACATTCCAGGAAATCCGCGTTGTTCACCAATCTCTAGCAATCTTTTTGATATCGTCATTGTTTGGTGACCTCAAATAATCATCGACGAAAATCGCAACAACGACCTTGACAAAACTTTTAACACTTTCAATAGTCGTGCTTTCACCAATCAGCACGTAATCATCCACAAAATCTGCAGATACTCTATAAGCAAGCATCCGCATTGCGGCTGTTATTTTTTGAAGGGATGGTAAACCAAGATTACCTGCAGCATTCCTTCTTTGGACAAAGTAAGGATCAAAATCTTCCACCACAGATGCAATTCGGAGGAAAAGTGGACGATGCATTTGAAACCGCCTTCGAAATAGTCGTGGACCATAAACGGGCTCCTCAGCGAAATAGTCACGATAAAGTCTATTATGACCTTGAACTCTATCGCGTTGAATGACAACATGGCCTTGAACGGAACCAAGACGATGCGATGCACTCCTCTCGTTAGCCACCCGCTCCTCTTCAACGACGGTCATTCCTAAGAACTTGCGTATTCCTCGTCAGCTTCTTCTTCCATGAGGAGCGTAGCTATTTCGTTATTATGAGACATAGATGATATTGGAAAAATGATGCTAACAATGAACACAATTTGTGTTGAGTGAAAAATAAGAGTGCATATGATATTATTCATAGAGGTCATATAGCCGTTATGATATAGCCGTTGAAATATAGCCGTTACAATTTAGTCGTTGGAATATAACCGTTACAATTATTTATTATAAAAGGAGGTAAGTGAAAAATGTCCAAAACTATTTAAGGAGCCTTTTGGGGAGCATTGTTGGAGCACTTGCTCCTTATTTGACTCCCTATCATTTCCTAGGATGAGATATTTGCTCCTCAAATATAGGGAAAAGCTAGGATTATTGTTGGAGATGCTCTAACTGCTTATTTCTCTTGACAGATTTCCCTCACGACTAAAATATAAAAATATAAAAACAGATTTTGAAATTCAAATCCCCTCTTTTTTTTTCGAAACCCCACTCCAGCGCCAAGCCATTCTCTACTGACAACCTCCAAAACCGGCGTCGTTCACTGTCGACGTCCAAAATTGCCAGTTGGACCATTCACCTTCTCTCTCCCATCTTGCCAGCGACCTCCAAAAATTGTTGTCCTCCACAGTCGATCTCGAAAATCGCCGGTTGGACCATTCTATGCTTTTTCAATCTCATTTATTGCATTCATAAGGAGATTTCTAGGGTTTTGCAGTGGTTTTCGCCAAAGAATAAAAGGATTCATTGATGACTACCTAACTTTAGGGTTTCTTCATGGTTTTTGAATGATGAGGTTTCTAGGGTTTCAACGATAAGCAACACCAGTAATTTCTTTCTGTCCCTAAAATCAGGTAATTTCTCTCTATCCCGGCCTAAAAACTAAATGAAATTATTTTTCAGTTATGCATGATTTTTTTTGTTTGGGTTTTTGAAGCCCCAGGTTGATTATTTGGATTTGGGACTTTTTGATTGGTTGATTGATTGGGAATTTTGCATAGATTGTTGATAATCTTTTGAAAATGTATTTTATTTGGAAGTAGGCAAATTTGTGTTCGTGATATGAGATATAATGAGACTGTTACAAGTTAGTGAGAATTGCATAACTGAGGTTTTTAGATCCTAACCTCAATTATTTAATTAATTATCATTTTTTGGGAAAATCCTTTGATGTTTCCTAATGGTATGAGAAATAGATGGAGCTTTTTGAGGAGTTTGAGAGAGCACATTTCGAAGGTGCATAAAGAAGTCCATGGTCATGGCGACAACCACGTTATTTTTTATGGCAACGTGATCTCGGAGTAGGAAATTTCCTCGCCTAAATAATCCAAGACCCGTTTAAGCCTGCAATAGTTCTATTTCATGTTTTGCTCTTATTTCTCTTCTTTTTACTGGCTTTGTTTCTTTTCTCCCCCTAATTATAAATATACGATATTATAATGTTTGTCTTTGAGGCACGATATAGTTAAGAGGTTAGTTTGCATTATTTTGTATGATGAAGCAAAATATGCATCAAGAGATAACTCCTTCATAAAAATTCATGATTGGTTGTCACTCAAGTGACTTACTCATGAAAATATGTTATATTGAATATAGAGTTTTATTGCTATATTGTTTTATTACGCTATTATGTGTGAGTTGTTGGAGTAGTATTGTTATATTTGCACCATACACTATTATTAGGCATCTATTTTCCAAATGCAACTCATTTGAAGTTCTTCATAGTTGCTACCTGTAGGAATCAGTTTGTATAAAAATAAAATTGAGATCAAACAACATTAAGGAATTGTGACTTAATTACATGTTAATGCAACATAATGTTCTATCCCTTACTCATGAATTTTCTCAATTTACTACTTATAGTTGAACCCTCAAATAATATTTTTGTTATTTTTCGAAGGTGTTTCCTCTTTCAAATTGGTTATTTTTCTAATCTCAAATCTCAATTAGTAAATTGCTTGCTTTTAATTCTATTTTACCCTTTTATTCATTTATCCCCTGTATCTTGCATTCTTTGTAATTAAGAAGGAATTCATATTGATATTAATTGCAGATTTTCAATGACTAAATTGTTAACTTTTAAGAATTAAATTTAACCTTTTTTTTACTTATCCGCTGTTTTGTTACATTCTTTGTATTTAAAAAGGATTTTAAATTTATATTAGTGGAAGATATTGAAATGGTTGCAAATTTTTGTGGTTTGTGAATTTTAAGATGATACTAATTAAAACGGGGATATTGAAATAGAATTTTATGTTTGTTGTTCGTTGATGTTAAAGTGATAGTAATTACAGATATGTTTATTCTTGAAACTTCAATTTTCCTTCAGCCACTACTCCTTCATAGCAGGTTTATAGAGGGATAGAGGAAATGCAGATGTGGCTATTTTCTAAGAATTCATATTGCTAAATACCATTGCCATAATATTGAGTTGTGTTATTATCGTGTAGTCATTAAATATAAATTTTAAGCAAATACATATCATATAGGTCATTTATCACGTTGAAGTACCCATTCATTTCACACAATCAACTAGACAGCAATAACGATGTGTCATATTTACTTGGGTATATTTGTGATTAGAGTGGAAATCATTATTATCCAGGATTTTATAAACTGGTATATATGCCACAATTTTATATTCTTTTGCCGTAATTTATGTGCTAATTTAATTCTGATACGAATGCTATTCCTTTTTTTTTGGGGCCAGGTTTCTATTTTTAGGCTTCATGGTCTTCTCATCAATCTAGCCGCATCCTTCTCAAATCAGGTTTATGTTGTTTTCCAAGTAGAAGTTGAACTTAGAATGAATCGAATATTTAGATACCCATGGTTTCTTATTACTCTTAGAATAATAATATCATAACAACTTTTATTTAACTATGTTCTTAATTAAAAACTGTCTTTTAATGTTGTTTTTTTTCTAATATAATTCCTGCATATATAAAATTTAAATTTTCAGATTTTCTTCTTTTGGCTTTGGCCTATTCCTTGCAATTTGGTTGCATTAATTTGCAATTTAATATTGCTCTTTGTACTGCCTGTTCTTGATCATGTACTTTTTGCAATATAATATCACTCTTTGTATTCCTTTAACATAATTGTCTTTCTTTATCTAATTTGTTCCCTTTTTGTAATTAATAACTAAGTATATCCAGATCTGTCTCTTTTATATTTTACGACTAATGTTAAATGATTGTTGATGCTACATCTTATTGCGGAAAATGCAATCTCATTAGCAGTGTTCTTTGGAGTCATGACTTTGAAACCTGATGCTGCGGTCTTTTATCCTCAATGACTTAAACTAACTCATCAGTTGCCACGTTGTATGTTATATCTTTAGGATAGTTATATGTTTGTGTTTCGAGACATCAATCTCCTAAGAATCAAAGTGTTATGCTTTCAAGTTCAAGAATAAAAAACTCAACCATTAGTCTCGATAAACTAGGCAATAAGTCACAATAGATATGGGTGCCTATCAACACAAGGGAATAATTTATAGCAACTTCATGTATGTGTCATATGAGAAATTTGTTTAAACATAAAGTTTAATATGCTTTATAATTTTAATTGTACAATAATAGTATGTAATTAAAACTAAGAGGAGGTGTGTTCCAAGTGCAATGGTAAAAAAGAGGCGAGGGCCATGCTTGGCACGGGGTACATACTAGTAGATTACAAGTTAAAATAAGTCATTTGCCAAACATTTTGAAGTGATTTATAAGTCACTCTAAGCGAAACTTCCCTCAGTTAATTAAAAAATAAAAATAATAATAACCGACTTCCATTCCGTAACTTAGAAAATATTCCTAACTCCAATTCATGTTATGTAAGGTGGATAGTTTTGCAATAGTTTGTTTTGTGGATTTTGTCAAACTTGTATTCTTGATGGTAAACTTTTACATCTCGTTTGGAATGGTGCGGAACTTGTGTGGGAATTTAATGCTCATTTTATTCTCACGATTGGGTATGGTTAAAGAATAAGGTGTGTTTTTTATATATATGTAATTAATATATAATCAAAAAAAATTTGGTATGGATTTTAGTTGTTTTTGTTATGATATAAGTGTGAACGCCTATTCTCTACCAACTTAATAGGAACATCCACCCCCACAAATAGTGGGAATGAAGGAGAAGTGTGAATGTGTGATTGTATGTTTGGTAGAAATGAATGAGAAGTAAAAATGAACATTTCATTCTCAACCCATTCCGCGCACCAAATGTTAACGTTGACAAGGCGAAGCTAGGGTAGCACTCAGCCACACTGCACTTAACCTAATGCTTCCAAATGAGATTTTATAAACATAAGCGAAGCCTGGCTTAATATGAAGTGAGCTAATATTAGAATTTAGACGGTATTAAAACTATCATAGTGGATAAATGAAATTTTCGAATGAGCAAATTCTATACCAATTAACAGGCAAGTGGTTTGCTTACTAAAATCTATCTGCATCATAAGTTCTCTTTCCACAAAGAGCAAAGAAAAGTATACACATACATGACAGCTAAATTAACCTGAATATGTTTTGAATGATCAAACCCCAAATCAAATAGTACTAGTAAACTTAAAAAACAACAACACAGGCCTCAGTTTAAAAGTGTATCATGTTGGAACTACAAATTACATTGAAATAAGGAACAGAATTGTTGTCTTACAAATCAAAAGAATACAAGTATATAGCCAGAAGGAATCATCTCAGACACCTCAGTTACATGTGCCAACCCCAACTCAAAACTTTTCTCTGGAAGGCAAAATCCCAACTCAAACATAACCTAAATCAACAAACAGAATATTCAACAACTACACGATGACTCGGGAGGTGGCTCTTGCCCAGGAATGACAATATTCGTCCCCTTAAGCAGAGAAGATCCACTCCCTCCAGCATCAGGTCCATCATTAGCAACAAGAGACTTCTTGCTTATGATCCGATAAATCTCAGTCAGTGCAGTAAGAAACGCAGTCTCGACATTGGTAGCATCAAGCGCCGAAGTCTCCATAAAGAAGAGATTCTCTTTCTCAGCGAATTCTTTAGCATCCTCAGTTGGAACTGCACGTAGAGTGCCAAGGTCAGACTTGTTGCCAATGAGCATGATGACAATGTTTTTGTCTGCATGGCTTCTGAGCTCCTCGAGCCACCTCGCTACGTGATCGAAAGTCACACGCTTGGTCATATCATAGACTAGCATTGCGCCCACTGCTCCTCTGTAGTATGCGCTTGTCACTGCCCGGTACCTAAATAAGTTTGAAACATTATGGGTATTTTAATACCAACAGAGATGAAACAAGAGCTGCAACTCTAGGAACATAGACAATGAAGTTGTTGGACTATCAAAGGACACAAAATTGACTTAGATTTTAAAATAAGGGCTAATTGCAGCCGGACCCCTATACTATCACCCAATTGCAGATAGTCCCATTGCAGTTCTATTGTTGCAGATAGAACACTGCAATTTTTTCATTGACCCTTCCAAGAGAAAGAAATTACTATTTTTCACAATTGGACCTCCTGAGGGTAAAAGAGTCAAAAGATTTTCACTCAAGGGGTCTATCTGCAACAATAGAACTACAGGGCGTCTATCCGCAATTAACCCTTAAAAAATAGTGTCGTGTCAAATAGTCTAGACTTTGGCCCATGAAAAGATGCTCAACCACCAAGGACATGTTAGATTATAAAATTATAACCCACAATCTTCACCACAGCTTTGAAGTTTCGGAGCAGCTGAAGGGCTTCAACATAACTTTCGAGTTTTGATGTAGTGGAAGAGACTCTAAGAGAAATCTGATAATAGTATTTCGACATATGATCATAACCATGATACAAGCAGGTCTTACCCGTCTATTAATAGCTAATAAATCAGGGGCGTTATATGATAAAAGGAGATCATAGGGTCATGTTATGAAGTTCTGCACCAGAGAGTAGAAGAAAGTGATGTGCAGGCTGTATATGAGAACTAGGGTGCTTAGAAAGGCTTATTAGAGTTATATCACTTTTAACAAGAGGAAGCAGACATGTTAGTAGATAATAACTGCTATAAGCTGAAGTTAGAAATGCACTATAGTTAGAAATAGATCAAACCTAAAAGTTTAGATGATCGTTTTGCATAGAAAAAAGTCGTTGGTATTTGCTTATGCTCTTTTTACATTTGGCAGCTTTTGGTACAAATACGTAAAGGAGTTAATATCAGCAGAATAGAAGATGGCATGATTCGGTGTTTGATATGTAGACGCAAAGTAGCAAACATATACAATGTAAGACAAAAGGAAAGTTTGCTTCTTCCTATATCTGGTGGAGCACAGATCTGGTCATGAATATTTTCGTGTCATCGACAATGTGCAAGGGGGAAAAAGTCTTTAAAAGCTACCAGAATGCTACAAAGAGGCAGTTCATATTAAATTCTTCACCAAACTCCAAGTTACCTATGTCTTTATGGTTACACAAGGCCACTAATTGGCTGTCATGTGCTCCTAATAAAAACCCCCATTAAGTTCTACTCCTGTTAACCTCTTCAGCATGTGGAGCCCCAAAAATTTGGAATATCTTCCAAGACTACTCAAGTATAAGTGAAAAATAGGCAGCTACCAGAGCACTCATCGATGCTTCCAGATAACATCCCAAGGCATCAGCAGCAAATGACTAATCAGCAATTTGAAGCAAGGTAAAGCATCAAAGCTCCCAGGTAATGTCGTAAGGGATCAGCAAATAAGCAATCAGCAACTTGAAGCTTAGAGAACATTAAGTAGCTAGGAGAAACCTAAACTTCCATAAATTTCTGAAATCTGAACCATCCAGAAAATTTCACTGGAAAATTTCAACTTTTTTGCCATGTTCATATTCCACGAATTACGGATATTCTTATGACCGTGAAGGCAGCACACCCAGGCATTGCCTAATTTAGCTCAACTTTTGTTCATATTATCCCAAGATAGTCACATATATGATTAGCCATGCAAACTATCCAACTAGCATCCGAAGTTTCCATCATCTAAGAATACACAAATACACACACACACACATATACATAGACATGTGTGTGTGTGTACACACACATATATATATACATATACATATACCTATACATATACATATACCTATACATATACATACATACATACATACACACACACATACACACTTATACATACATACATAAATACATACATACATCTATAAGCTTACAGAAAACATAAACCATGCCCATCTTAAGAAAACTACACTTATTATTTGATGTTCCTAAATAACTAAAACTGTGTGTGTGCAGACTGTGTATATGATGCCAATCAACACAAAACATAAGAAGCATCAGCACATGCATTAGCCATTGACATGGCACATACAAGCACTATGCAATTGAGTAGGAGACAGACAAAAACATACCTACAAGAGAAGCTATATAAGAAATAGAGAATACATATTACATCTTTGTCAGAAATGCACATCATGTTTGTAAGAGAACATGCTTGGGATAACACAGGGCAAAGGCGTCCTAGCAGTGTATCGTCCTGCACGGGCGTAACTTTTGGATAAAAGTGCCCATGATACATAGTGCAAAACTATCAACTAACTACACGTAGAATTCAGGGCGCATCTTCATTAATGACTAAATATTTGAAAAATCTGACATATCAATGTTATAGAGAAACAGACACGGGAAAAAAAATTTACCCTATTCAGGTTATAGAAGGATCCCTGGATCCTCTTGGCTGTTGAAAAAATACCAATCTGGATGTATTGTACGCTAAATATGGAAATAACTAATACCAAACCATCCAACAGATAAAAATGGAGAGTTAATGAAATTACTTCAGCAAATTTATTACATCCATGTACCAGCATTGCATGCATGTACCAGCAATTATTTATATGCATGTACCAGCATATTCATATGCTAGAATTTATGAGAAACCCATTGTCGAATCCTTGGACTATAATAAGATCAGCAGAGTCCGTCAGCAATTCCACAGTGAAGACATGGCCAAGTTCTCCAACACTGTAGGCCTTGTTCTGGTCTTCGTAATGCTCATCAGTCTCTTTGCTTGTCATGAATGTAAGTATCAAAGAAATTCCTTCCTTATCTTTCATTCAGTTTAGAAATATACATTGTGTTTTTGTGCATCTTACTTAGCCAGATCTCTAGTTTACAAATAAAAATAAGCAATTCCCTTGCACTGTTTGTATGTACATCTGCCAGAGATAATGCAGGTTAAAATAAATAATATTGAACAATTTTTAACTCCGTCATTCAAGTGAGAAAATGAACAAATCTCCTGCATAGTGTTCATGTGCATCTTACCGAAATAAAAATCAAGTAAAAAAAAATGAACTTTTAACTTGTTAAATGAACTAAACTAGTTCCAATAGCTTTCTTTTACAAAATACAAACCAAAAAACTTAATTAATATTTCAGATAAAGAAAATAGAATGTTCTCTGTGCTGATGTGTTCTTATAGTAGCCACTGATAGTAGTCCTTAGTGAATGTTTTCTACTAAAATTTTAATCCTTGCAGACAGGGATGTGCTCTGGAAAGCTAATAAGAATGGCATTGGGCTGGATTCAGATGTCTGCATTCAGTTACCATGTCCTAAAGATCCACCTCTTTGTTGTTGCTGCCGATCAACTCATAATTGCTTCCTAAATGGGGAGGACAAGAAAACTTGTGAAAAGGTGTGCCCTGTCTAGGTCTTGCATCTGATTGTTGGGAAAATAGGCTGGAATTCAGTATTCAAGCCACATGCATTTGTCTTGTGTTAATGAACATATCAAAATTTGCAATTAATGAATCACCAAAAGACTTTTGTTGTCTTTAAATTTATGAGATACCCCTATTGGACTTTTTATTAGAGATTATTCTTCTACAACCAGATAATTTCTCGTGTTTATACTTCAAGTTATAGATTATTTCCTAACGATGAAGTGTAGCATAGGTCATGAAAAGAGGGTTAATTCCTGCAATAAAGCCTAAGTCAGGTGGTGGCAGATCATGTTGCCACATTATATGCCAGCAAATAAATGACTTGTACAACAAGGACAAGAACAACAACAATAAACACTTCACCCCCAACAATTCTGGAGTCTCTACGTGGATGCCTTACTTCTTATTACAACCATTCCGTATAGTAATTTCCAACAAAGAGGAGCTAGAACCGTGATAAACCAAGATTTTAAAGCCGTCTTAACATAAAACATCAGTCACTTTTATTTTTTTCAAGGTTCGTGATTGGATAAGCATAATGAACAAGATCACAATGTGGTTTAAAAAGTGCAAGGGAAAATGGAGGTTATCTTCGAATCACTATCAATTATTTCCTTCTAAAGAACAGAACCAGATATCCTATCCAAGTCAAACTCCCAACACCTTGTAATAATCACCAAATATCATCTCCATTAATCCCATAATTAGGGGGGAAAACAAACAAGGACGGGGGAGCAAAAAGAACAACAGATGGTCAACAGCCAGTTCCTAACGTACAAAGTTAATCCAAGAAACAGTTTTATCCAATGAGCTAAGTTTCATGCGAGGTTCGGTGAAAGCGCCCAGTAATCTACTACCTCGATCGAAACAACAATATTCTAATATGCGTTCACGGATTGCGTGCCTTCGTCATGTATCGAAACATGGATTCACGCTGCAGTGTTTATTTTGAATTCTGCTTTAAACATAATGAACAAAAAATCATCCTCAGAGGAAAGATCAACTAATGCCGCCGCATCTTTTCCATTATTCAAACATAATGAACAAAATCATCCTCTACGAATCAAATTATACCCAGAATTCAAAGAATTTATTACCTTTCTTGGCCAGCGGTGTCCCAAATCTGGGCCTTGACGGTCTTGTGATCAATCGCGAGGGTCCGAGTCTGAAACTCAACCCCGATGGTGGCTTTCGAATCCAGACTGAACTCGTTTCTAGAGAATCGAGCCAAGAGCTGCGATTTCCCCACCGCCGAGTCCCCGATCAGCACCACCTTGAACACGTAATCAATCCTCTGGCTGAACTCGCCGTGCAAATTCGCCATCGAGGGAGATCAGAGAAGCCCTAACGGAATTCTCGAGAGAGTTTAGATCGGATCGGGAGAGATTGACGAGGGTCGGATCATCGTGAGATCTCCCACGATCTCTCGCTCTCTGTGGATTATCGTACTATTTTCTTATTGAAAACCTAATAAATTGCAACTGAAACTTTTTGGTTTTTTTTTTTTAAAGGTTGGAAGGAAACAAGAAATGGAGAGTATGGAATGGGGAAGGAAGACAGCGGCTTCCCATTACCATCGTTTCATGGCGGGCATGAACAATAGGAATCGAGCGGCTGGCTGAACAAAGATGCTGCACATTTGCATAGCCACCCCCAAACATTAAAAGAATTTGTTTCCAGTCCAACCCGTAAAGTAGTTTTACATGCAAGTCGTGTTACGTATTTAACCTCGGACCCAAGAAATCCAACCTTCATGCTGCAACCAAATGACACGAGTTGTGAGCAATTTGATCATGCCATCATCATATATTTACTCAGCTTTTTCAATGCGATGGAATTTGGATTACTACCTCCCCTCTAATGTGCAGGCGGTAAAGTATTAATGCTGAAAAAAATGGTTATAATTAAAACCAAACAACCATTTTTAGCAACAAGATTTCAAAGCTGTAAAAATACCTATATAACCAACACAATCTAAAATCGTATAGCGGGAAAAAAATGAATATCTTCTATTTTTAACTTAAAAGCAAAATATTAAGTTCACTGTTCATGCTACATTAAACACTATACATACTACAGTACAAGCCAGAATATTAAATCCCCTCTTCAAACAGTGCTGAAATTTTAAACCTTAACCACCATGCATGCTACGGCAGTTTTAAAACTTAATATCAGCAACCATGTGCGGGCTTAATACTAGTACATAATTTAGTAGTAGAATCATAGAACGTCAATTGTTCTATCTTTTCCATAAACTGTGTAGTGACGACAGTCAAGCGCAAAAATGAAGATCAGGTGTTGCACATTCTTCATAAAATGACAAATTTTTAAGATTTACTGTCAATGAAGACTCATTATATTCTCTGCTGCATATATGGTTTCGTAAACAATTAACATGTAAAGATAACTACTTAATTGGCTTATATAAATATCTGACAATATTTCCCTTGTTCATACATGGCAGCTTTTCACGCTCATTCACAAGATTATCTGGTGCTAAAAAAATGATAAAAATGAGCTTCAAGTAGGCATTTATCATTGGCGAACCATCATAAACAAGTAGAATGTATTATGCAGCATTTCCTTCCTAGTAGAATCTGGTTGATCCTTTTTGCGGAGAACACTTTGTTGTTTTCTAAGTTCTTCAGCTCAGCAGAGATTACGGTAATGCTATAATATCTGGAATATTCAAAAAAATAAAAAAAATTAACATAGGGGGTCAGAAAAAGATATTGATATGGATCTACGCACACAAAAGATGAAAAGCTAACAAAAATGAAAATAATTGCAAAAAGTTGCAAAAAGACCGTGTTTTCTACTTCAAAAGGATATCATGAAGGAAAAGGGTATAACTGACAGCCTAGCCCTTGTAACACATGATTGATCGCCAAAATCAATGCAAATCAAGTATAAGCTACAGAAGTGAATCAAGAGAAGTACCGAGATGATATTGAGGATCTAAACCCATCTCTTCTGTGAAGCCACAGCACTAGCAGAAACCAAGCGCTTAGGCCTCAACGCCCCAGTAGAATCAGCTCTCGAGACAATGTAACTAGCTTTAACAGGACTCGCAGGTCGGTGCTTCGGGCGTTTGTTGGGTGGCAAGTTAGAATATCCCAGAGACTTCGCTGATGGTTGAGAATCACTCTTGACTGAAGCTTGAGGTTGACGATCTTTTTGATGAACTGGAGTGTCAGAATCCGAAGATGATGAGCTAGAGCTACTCATGTCATAGAGAATATTAGTGGTCATTGCCAGGGTTGTTTTGTTTTCTGTGTTTAATGCAGTCGAAGGTCTTTGCTCTCTCATCGGCTGGATGACCTGCTCTCAATAAAAAGGATGGAACTAAGAACCATGCATAGATGTGAATTTTTTTATAGGGTTAATTGACATTGACTCCCTGTAGTATTGTTGTTTTGAACTTACTACCCTTGTAGTTCTATTGTTGCAGGTAGAGCCTTGGGTGATTTTTTTTTTGCCCTTTTACCCCTGTTGAAATTTTGACTGATACTGCCCATGTGTGAAATTAGTGAGTCTAAGGGCTAAAGAGTTAATAAAACTTTAACCCGGAGGTCTATCTGAAACCATGAAGCTATAGAATAGTAAGTTCAAAACAGCGGTACTACAGGGTCTATGTGCAATTATCCCTTTTTTATATGTATTAACAAAAGCAGGATAGCTTACTTCTGAGGCCGGCTTAGCCTTTTTCAGCTTTGTTATAATCAAGTTCTTCGTTCTTATGATTTCTTCCAACTCTGAAATTCTCTATTATGACAAAGAAATAAAAAAACATGCTAAGAAAATGATCTACTGTAGGCAAATTATTAAGGAAAAAAAGAAAAACATAACGAGCACCTTAGAGTGAGCAATGCTGGATTCATGAGCTTCAGCAGTTAGCTTGTCTATTATTGCATCCTTCTGTTGGCATTCCTTCCGAAGATTGTAAATATTTTGCTCTTCTGCCAATGTGCTCCGCAGCTAAGATCATGAACCGGGTTATTGCAGAAAGAAAAAGAACATGAATTTAGTGAAATGACTTTACATTAGCCTCAGGGTTGAAATAGAATCAGAAAAAGAAAATCTGTCAACTGATCTAAGTTGCAAGTTGCAACGATAGCAGTTACTAACTACGATCCACATTGGTTGATGACTATGAATATTATACAAATCTACACATAAAAGAGAGCTTGACCTTCAAATTAGAATAGTGAAATAACTGGAGATGTATCTAGCTATCCTGCAATAGAGAGATGTAAAACGAAGGACCAGCAAATAGTGGCCTGATGCCTATAGAATTGCATCCTCTCCGACATATCATAGTTAAGTTGTTCACTAATTCATCTAAAATAAACTGTAAACCAAACAGGACTCTTTCCGATACCAGTCGAAGAAGACAAGTTGAAGATGACTAGTAGAGTGAGAAGCAAATTCAGGCAAATATCATTTTCAATAATGAATTTAAGTGGAGATTATCAAAATGAAGAAATATTAGCATCCAAATTGAATAAAGACAAGTCGCAAAGTTCTCACCTGATGAATATCCACAGAAGAACTGACACTAGAAAAATCAGATAAATCTGACATCCGGCGTTCCTCTGGCTCCCCCATACTCGGATGACTAGTAGTAAAGGCCTCGACCATACACAATTCTGCTCCAGGATCCTGTACAAATATCAAGCTACAAATGGGCATAAAATAGGGAAAAAAAAGGAAACATTTCCCTTAATAATTGGCCTGCGCTCACCTTTGACCAATTCGACAAATTCCCAGAAAGAGGAGGAACACCACAATCAGGATTCAATTGAGGAAGCGAGCACACAGTGCTGCAGAAATTAGCTACTTTTGTTTCTGACATCATATACTCCCTGAATTCATCACTTTCTGAAGAACCCTTATGAGTATGAATAGTTGGTTGGTCTTCGGAGGAGTACATTTGTTCACACAAATCGTCGAACTTCTTTTGCATGTCTTGTAGAACTTCATCCTATATGATCAAATAGCATTAGCCCTTAAAAGAGTCGGATTTGAACTAAGGTTTACCTCCTAGCACAGCTGTTAATCATCATCTATATACGGATTTTTATATCAAAACCATATTACTTTTACCCAAATTGATACTTATCATCTTTAAAAAAATTTTATGTAAACTACATTTACCTGCTAACATATTTGCAATGTCACACCTGTTTTACTGTTCACCCATGAAAAATCTAATATTCCTATTTTACCCCCATCTTTTTCCTTCCAATCCCTAATCCTAACCCCCTAGCCTCCTTCATCCTCATCTTCTACAAACCCTAATCCTAATCCTAACCCATGGCCGCCACCTCCCCCAAAACCCTAACCCTAATCCATGACCGCAACCTCTCCCAAACCCTAACCTTAATACTAGCTCCCACTTAAGGAACAGGAGAGCGGGAGGTCTGGGAGGAAGAGGAAGAGAGGGAGGGGAGTGGAGTTGGGGGAGCAGGGAGAGGGAAGACCGGGAGAAGATGAAGATGAAGATGAAGAGGCTAGTGTTATGTTAAAGGTTAGAGTTTGCGAGGAAGAAGATGAACAACTAAGAAAATGGTGAGGGTAAAACGGTCATTTCGCGCATTTTTGGCTAAAAATTGGATTAGGTGCGACATTACAAACATGTTAACAAGTAAAAAGTGGTTTACATCAAAAAATAAAAGTGGTAAAAAATCAATTTGGGTAAAAGTAAAGGCGGTTTTAATGTAATAAAACCCCTTTATATACACCAAAATTTTTAGAAATTGCTAGCAGTTCGCTAGTGAACTTTTTCTTAATAAATTTTCATTTAAAACGAATTAGGAGAATAAAGTGCAATTCAACCTTTCATCAAATCAAAAGTTGGCCACTATAGGCATCCAAAAGAAATTCACGACAAAAGGAAGAAAAACCCAGTTCCCAGATATATTAAATAATACTATAAAATTAAATTAAATAGTCAAATCAAGAGAATTAATTAAAGATTGGTTTCGTTTTTTAATCAGGGTCTGTTTGTTTGCCTAAAAAAAGTGGGAAATCAAAGAAATGGGAAATTATTTCTAAGAAGAAATGTTTTGGGAGTGTTTGATTTGCTAAAAAAAGAAGGAAATCAAAGAAATAGAGATGGGATGAGATGAGTTGTCACTTATTATAGGATGATGTGAGTGATTTTTTAAGAAAACTTGTTTTGATGTTGTTTGGTTGGCGAAAAAAATAAGGAAATGAATTAGAAGAAACCTATTTCTTGTAATATGTTGTTTTCTTTTGTTTGGTTCATTCTTAAAAATAAGAAAATAGATAAGATGAGATGAGTTGTCATTATATTATTGGATGATGTGACCCACACTTAAGGAAATTGTTTTTCTAGCTTTTTAAGAGAAAATGGTTAGAAATAAAATGTTAATGAGATGAGATGAGTTATCACCATCTTATTGGATGATGTGAGTGATTTGAAATAATGAGATGAGATGAGTTGAGTGATGTTGTGGATGAAAATAATATTTTATTAGATATGGTGGATGAGTTGTTGGATGAAAATAATATTTTATTAGATGTGGTGGATGTGGTAGATGAGTTGTTGGATAAAAATAATATTTTATTAGATGTGGTGGATGAGTTGTTGGATAAAAATAATATTTTATTAGATATTGTAGGTGAGTTTTAGAGATGGAAATGGATGAAATTGTACTTTTTGAGTTTTCTTGGTTTTCATTTCTATTTCTTGGTGTTTTAGGAAATAACCAAACAGGCCCTCAATCTAATAGTCCCCCCATCAATTATTATTTACCCCCATTGACTCAATAATAATGACAACTTGTTACATCAACACAAGTTATTGTTGGATAGCAGTATTCCTAATCTATTAGGATTCCTAATCTATTTTGGTAACATGAGGTTATTAGGATTCCTAATCTATTTTAGTAATAGGTTATTAGGATTGCTAATTTGATTTGGCTTTTGGTTTAGAATTCCTAGTATGTTTATGATTTTAGGATTTCTATATATATGGAACAATTGGAAGAGAAAATTAGGAGAAGAAAAATTAGGGATATTTGGAGCACAGAAAAGATGTATTTTCTGAACTATTTGTTTAGGGTTTTGTTTGGAAAGATTAAGAGTTTTATTGGTGAGATTAGTTTGTTCCTTCGAGTGATTTGTAATCTTAATTTGTACTCTTCTTTCTCTATTAATGAAAACTCTATCCCCTTCTTGTCCCGTGAACGTAGGCAACTTGTCGAACCACGTTAAAATTAGTGTTTTGTTTGTGCATTGATATTTAGTTCGTTTGGCTCTCTTGGATTGGCGTTTGGTTTAGTTCATCGACACAGCTTTTGGTACAACAATTTGGTATCAGAACTCGGGCTACGCTTGGGCTATTTGGAGGAGTAGATCGATTTGGAAAGCTTGTCTAGGGTTTTAGTTGGTGAGAAAGGTGGGATTTTTTCGGTAAAGCTTCTTTCTTTTCTCAGTTTTGGATCTATTCTTTGTTTGTTTCCGCATTGGTTGTTGGTGTGTTGAGGATTATGGCCAAGAAAGAGGGAGTTGAGGGTAGTTCTTCAGGTGTGAAGACTGTCCAAAGTTTGAGTATCTACTCGATGAAGATTAACGTGGAGAAGTTCAATGGCACTAATAATTTTGGACTTTGACGATGCGAAGTCTTGGATGCGCTCAATGCGCAGAATTTGGAAGATACGTTGGAGTTAGACGGGAAATCGGACGACATTGATAAGAAAGTTTGGAAAAAGATGAATCGGACAACGTGTGGTGTGATTAGGTCTTGTCTCACTCAAAATCTAAAATATGATATGATGAATGAGACTTCTGCGAAGAAGATTTGGGAGGTCCTAGAGAGCAAGTACTTGACGAAGAGCATTGAAAACCGCTTGCATTTGAAGAGGAGGCTTTATCGCTTCCAATTGAAGAAGAGAACATCCATGAGTGATCACATGAACCACTACACGAAGCTTCTTGCAGATTTGACGAATGTAGATGTCATTGTTAAAGATGAGGACAAGGCGTTGCTATTGTTGAGTTACTTGCCCGACGAGGAATATGAGACGTTTGTCCTTACTCTTATTAATAGGAAGACATCTCTTTCATATAGTGAGGTCACCGCTGCATTAGTGAATTACCAACTCAGAAAGAAGGACAAGAAGATTTCTATTGAGCCGGTAGCGGGGGCATTGGTTGTAAGAGCAAAGGGTCCAAACCGAGATAGAAGGTCACATTCTAGAGGAGCACATCTTAGAATTCGTAGGAATCAGTGTGTTTTTTATAAAAAAGATGGACATTGAAAAGCTGAATGCCCAAAGTTGAATGATCAAGCCGGGAAGAATAAGGGGAAAGCTGTACAAGCTTCAGAGGTGAATATTGTCAAGACTAGTGGTAACAATTCAGATTCGGATTCTTCAAGCTACTCATTATCTGCACTACCGTCAGTTTGTGTTGCCTACTCTACAGAGTGAATGTTGGATTCAGACGCTACATACCATATTTACCCTAGGAGGGATTGGTTCTCCAGCTTTTAGGAATTAAAAAGAGGGGATTTCGTGCTCATAGGGAATGATCACAAATGCTCTATTGGTGGTATCGGTACCGTTCGGATTAGGATGAGTGACATGGTGATTCGGGAGTTGGTTGGAGTGAGGTTCGTTCCTCAGTTGAAGAAGAACATTATTTTACTTGGAGCTTTGGAGACAGCAGGCTATAGGGTGACCTTGGCGGATGCACGCTTGAAGGTTACATTTGGGTCCATGATTATGATGAAAGACGTCAGAAAGAGTAACTTATACTGTTTGCTTGGGAGCACGGTGATTGATAGAGCTCTGACGGCTTCATTGGATTTAGCTAGATTGTGGTGTTGTTTAGTGCTGGGGTATTTGATTGGTGATGTCGTGCATAGGTTGTTGAGGAGTACTTTGACCTGCAGATGGAAGTCCTTTGAGCACATTGGGATGAGCAAGACTGAGGTGGAGTTTGACACTCCTATCCATCGAACGAGGGGTCTTTTAGGAGGTGTTCAGTTAGGTATTTGGGAGCCTTCTAAGGAGGTATCATTGGGAAGTAATCGTTTTGTAGTTTCCGCAGTTGGTAATTGTTCTAGGCATTATTGGGTCGCGACTAGTTCTCGTTGGTGTAAAGTCCTAGAAGTCAACAATAATTGGAAGAAGTGTATTGGCAGAAAGGTAACTCGTTGTTTTAGCTTTGGTAGGGGTCCTTTCTTGCGTTTGTGCCGAGCTCACGGTAATAGGAGACACTTCATTGGTGTGGAGATTTTGGGGCGACAAGATGAGATGACAGTTTCGATGGGTCGTTCCTTTCTGGAGGAGGATCGGCGTTGGTTGTCGAGCATTGGTTCTGAAGCTTTGACATATTTGGGTCATCTTAGTCATAAGTCGCCGACTGTTGTATTAGGAGTTATTGGATCTGATGGAGTTGCTTCAGATTTTAGTCGGCGTCGGATATTTGGTTACCCAGCATTTGGTCACATCGACGATGTGAGATTTGATCCAATTGCGCGTTTGGGATTCGGAGGCTCATTTGATTATCGTTTGGGAGCTTCTGATTTTGTTCTGAGCAGGAATGTCACTTTTGACTCTCGGTAGGTGGAGAGTGTTGATCAGATCGTTTGGATATCGTAGCAGGTGGAGGATGATGCTACTTCACGTTGGGTGAAACTTATTCCACATACTCCAGATCATACTGCGTCATTTAGGATTCCGGCTGAGGTGACACAGGTTGGGGATCATTTGATTTCTGATGCAGATGATGGATTGGTTTTGGATTCGGTTACAGCTGGTGGATATGATTTGAATACGGCCATTGGTTCACCTCAGATGGAGGTGTTTGATTTGTATCAGTTTGGGGCCGCTATCAGTTGCAGATCTGTTGACGATATTGGGAAAGTGTTGCAGACTTTTCTATTTGTTTGAGGGCCTTTGGAGGCCGTTTGGGTGAACTACGTGAAGGCTTAATTCCTTGGGCAAGAGGATACGTAGGCAGTCAGTTTTGATGCAGCCGATTTGGTGAGTAGATACCGACGTTTGGGTGAGTGTTCGCACTCCCGTTTGGGTCTCGACTTGTTGTGGATTGAGTCCGTTATCGTGGATTTGTTCCACTTCGTACTGGACGTAACAAGTGAGACGTTTGGTTGGTATTGGTGTCGGCTCAGTTTTGAAAAAACTTCGTCGAGGTAGAGAATTGTTGGATAGCAGTATTCCTAATCTATTAGGATTCCTAATCTATTTTGGTAACATGAGGTTATTAGGATTCCTAATCTATTTTGGTAATAAGTTTTAGGATTCCTAATTTGATTTGGCTTTTGGTTTAGAATTCCTAGTATGTTTATGATTTTAGGATTTCTATATATATGGAATAATTGGAAGAGAGAATTGAGAGAAGAAAAATTAGAGATATTTGGAGCACAGAAAACAGGTATTTTCTAAGCTATTTGTTTAGGGTTTTGTTTGGAGAGATTAAGAGTTTTATTGGTGAGATTAGTTTGTTCCTTCGAGTGATTTGTAATCTCAATTTGTACTCTTCTTTCTCTATTAGTAAAAACCCTATCCCCTTCTTGTCCCGTGGACGTAGGCAAATTGCCGAACCACGTTAAAATTGGTGTTTTGTTTGTGCATTGATATTTAGTTCGTTTGGCTCTCTTAGATTGGCGTTTGGTTTGGTTCCTCGACACAGCTTTTGGCACAACAGTTATTAGTGGTTAAAAAAATATACTTGTTTCTTTAAACCGCCTAATAGTCCCCCACTAATTAACATTTACCCCTATCAATTAAATAATAATGACTATTAATAAACAATTCATGAAAAGTGGAGGAAATATACTTTGGTCATCTCCCCACTTCAGAACTTTAAAGAACTTGCTTCTCTCCTAAATAGAAGCAATCAGTAGCTGTTCACTAGCTTAAACCAGAGCAAAACATAAATAAATTAATTTAAACCCCCTCAAGAACAAATTTTTATTACATAACTCACCCTGATCTTAACCGATCTCTGCAAATTATCTATCACCCTCCCCTTCCTCGATTCGTTCTCCGGTTCTTGTTGACGTGGCAGTCTCAGCTCGACGAGACGCCTTGCAGCGAGATTCCACGCAAGCTTCTTCCTCGCCGGCGGCTTCCAGCCGAGACGAGAGAGAGCTTCTTCGGGTACAAGATGGTGTCGGGAGTGGCACGAGAGAGACACGCGAGGGGGTTAAGAAGAAGGAGAGCTCCTCGTCTTCAGTCATGGCGAGATCAAAGGGAGGAGAGAGAGAGAGGTTTTTTTGTCGGTTGCATTTATAAAATGGGATTTTTGAATTTGAATTTTTGAAAGGACGGGGGAGAAATTGGGAAGAGGAAGGCGTGTGGACACGTGGACGGTGATGGTAGCGGGGGAGTAAATGCTCGGGATAGTAGCCGTTAGAGAGGGAAATACGGTGGGGATTTTTTTTTGACTTTTTACGACATTAGTTTCTTAAATTGTTTCTGTTTTAATATAAGGGGTTTTTATATTAGGGGTTATTTAGTTGGCTAAAAAATAAATAAAAAATCAATTATAAGAAATTTATTTTCTACAATAGGTTCTTTTTTGTGTTTGGTTCACTTATTAAAACTAAGAAAAAGATGAGATGAGATGAATTATTATCATATTATTAGATTATTAGATGATGTGACTCGTATTTAAAAAAACTCATTTCATGATTTTTTTTAAGAAAATGGGTAGAAGTTAATTTTTAATGGTTTCCTTATCTTATTTCTTTTTCTTTGATTTAGGAAAGCAACCAAAGATGCCCTTAGTCCTTTACATCATCACTATTTTGATATTAGCCCCCTAAATCTTCATATTTTAATATTACTTTCCCAATTGTATTAATATGTTGATATTAGTACACATGGCTAGGTGGAGTTATAAATCAAGGGAAATATTCTCATTAAGAAATATTTTGTTTTGAGGAGGTGATTGATGATGAAGTTTTTCAAGTTAAAAAAAAAAAAATTCTTTAAGGACCCAAAATATGGGACCAATAGGGGAACAAGTGAGGTGTCCCCCTCCTATTGGATAATGAGTTGACCATCATTAATGATGGCCAACTCATTATCCAATAGGAAGAGGACACCTCACTTGTCCCCCTTATTGGTCCCATATTTTGGGTCCCCGTAGCAAAGCTCCAAAAAAAATAAAGAGACGAAATTTATGTCTCACTAGTAGAAAATTGAACAAACTAGACGGAACAAACTAGACGGAAATTTTTTCCGTCTAGTTTGAGGCAATCTAGACGGAACAAATTCCGTCTAGTTTGAATCAATTTAGACGGAAATTTCCGTCTAGTTTGACAAACTAGACGGTTTTTATTTTTTTTAAAATTAACACTCAATCTAGACGGAATTTCCGTCTAGGTTGATACAACCTAGACGGAAATTCCGTCTAGATTGTCGATCTAAACCCCACCCCCTCTCTTTCCCCAAATCTCTCTCTCTCGTCTCCACGCCGCCTGCTCCTCAAAACGGCGCCGAGATCCTCTCATCCCCCCCTCCACCTCCACTGCCAGCGCCGCCCTCTCTCATCTCCATCCTCACCAAGCCCTCAACCCAGCCCGCAACACTCCCTCCGCCTCTACCTCCCAAACCCTAACCCTAGCCCCAAGCACCCCGTCCTCCTCTACTTCCACGGCGGCGGCATCGTTATATTCTCGCCCGCCTCCGGCCTCGTCCACCTCTCCTCCACCGCCCGCTCCACCCGCATCCCCGCCCTCGTCGCCTCCGTCGCCTATAGCCTCGCCCCCGAGCACCACCTCCCCGCAAAGAGATGTCGACCGCTGGAGAACTTGCGTACTCGTACGCCGCCATCATCCTCTACGACGACGACATCCCCATTACGATACTCTTTCTTCCCTTTCCCCCCAATTTCAAGAATTAGGGTTTTGCTTCTTTCAATCTGCGGTTATTTAATTTTCATGAGGTTTAGAATAGAATTATTCTACAGTTTGTATGGATTACTGGGTGATTAGGTCACTAAGAATGCAATTATCATTAACTGGATATGTTTGGCAACAAATGCTTCTTTACTGTATAATGTCAAATTGTAAAAGCTATGGAGACTTGGGATCCAAATAATGCAATTTCTGTATAGAAAATTAGGGCTATAGAACCATGGTCAGTTCTGTCCCTGGTAGGTAGTTAAAATTTTGTACTTGTTAATGCCTATTTTGGATATGTTACATCTAAACTAACTAATAGGGGAGATATGACCACTAATTTGTACATTATTTCAACTTCTTCAGGGGGTAGTGATCTTCTCAGTTCGGAGACAAATAGTAGCATAAAGGACACAAAAATTTCAACTGATTGCAGTAGGCCGGAGTCTCCAGTTGTGGAAACTTGCTCTAACCCATGTACGCGAGGTAAAATTCTATGGTTGGAGATAACTGAAATTTTTTCAGAGTATACTCCCATTTCTCTCACTTCTGCTAGTGAGCTTCCTTCAGGGAGGAGATGGTTTAACGAAAATTGACTTTTTTCAAGAGGAAAATCTTATTGGAACAGTCTGTTTGGTTTATCCTTCGGTAACCAATATTTTGATTTCCCTATTAGTTCTTCTGCAAAGTTAATGCTTTCTAAGTGTATTTCATGGCATGGACTAATTGATGTTGAATTTTGTATAATGTAGGATTAAGGAGGAAGAAACATGATGCTTCAACAACTTGGAGGAGTAAATGCAATTGGATTCTATAAATTATGCAAAGTTCATCAAGTTATGTAAACAATTGTATTCTTTATAATCAATCTATGTAAAAAATTTATGCACCTTTCTAGTATTTTGGTGAATGTATTATTTGACAACCTAGACGGAATTCCGTCTAGATAGCAACCTAGACGGATTTCTTACTTCCGTCTAGCTTGATATCCGTCTAGGTTGGTCAACCTAGACGGAATTCCGTCTAGTTTACCCCAATCTAGACGGAAACAGATTAAACCGAGCAAACTAGACGGAATTCCGTCTAGGTGTACCAACCTAGACGGGAAATTGAGCAATCTAGACGGAAATTTCCGTCTAGATTGCTCGTTTTTCTACTAGTGTCTCTTCACTTTCATCGAGCTCGCAAGCCAAGGCCGCAATCTGAAATTAAGATGGTTTAGGAGGAGTACATAATATTCCTTTGATTCAAATTCACTTGGGTGTGATTTTGGCAAGACTTGATTAGCAACACATGATTTTTTTTTTTGTTAGCACAATGTAAGCCAAGTTCTATATAGTTTGGTACTTTCTCAAAATATACATACCTACTTGGGGAGGAAAGGTAAATGTAGACCGGGGAAAGAAGGGTAAGAAATTGTAAGGAAACTTCCAAACAATATTAGTTCTTACCTTACCCTCCCCCTATTTTCCATTTGCCCCCATCCAAACAGAGTGAAGGACACTCAGATCTCTTCTCATAACCACTTAGATCATTGATCTTATAGAAATGGAGAAAATAAGGCTTATTCAAGTGCCTACAAAAAAAATTTCAAAGTGAATATGTCACACGCAGTAAATCTTAATTCTTTTATTAGGACTCACTATCCAAAACAAGTAAATACTTCTAGCTGCTTGGAAGAGAGATTGGAGAGTTCAAGAGAGGAAGAAGAAGCGGGAGGATGAATAGGGAGAGGGGGGTATTATGGTAATTTGTTGAGGGTTTTGGATGGAAATAATGATCGATAAAGGGATTAATATCAACACATTAATGTAATTTAAAGGGCTAATATTAAAATATGAAGATTTAGAGGACTAATATCAAAATAGTGATGATTTAAGGGACTAAGAGTATCTCCAACAGCTTCTCCAAAATTTTCTCCAAAATGGGGAAGCAAAAGTCATATTCTCCAACTAATTTTTACACCAACTCCAACAGGTTCCCCATTTTGAAGAATCCATTTTTTCCTCCAAAATTTTGGAGAATGCTGCAGATTTGGGGAAGCTTCCCCATTTTTTCTCCTCCATCCCTATTTTGGGAAATAAGATGGGGAATCTGTTGGGCCAAAAACCTAACTAAATTCTCCAAAAGTGAGAAATGAGGAAGCTGTTGGAGATGCTCTAACAGAAAAAGAAACCCTTTAAATTAAGATCTTTAAAAAATTAAAATTTGAGTAATGATAACTAAACCATGTTGAGCGAGTTACTTCAGTGCTCGAAAAATAGAAACTTTTTAAATAATGAAAGCATGTTGAAATGAAGAAATGATATTTTGATCATTCCCATTTATTTTGCTTTTCTTATTTTCCCACAACTGTTTTCTATCCTCTCACATACTTCTCCTAACCTTCTCTTTGGCCAAATTAAAAAATAAAGCTTCAAACTAATAAAGTAATTTTTAATTAGTATTCTTCGTAAGATGTTTAAAAATACTTTTGAATGCATTATGTTACACCAAATTATTATTTAGAGGTTGTTTGGTTTCATGTATTTTGAAGGGACAAGATGAAAAGTTAATTGATTAAGGCGTACATATTTGCTTTCCAAATTTCATATGTTTGGTTGCGTTTTTAAAAACCCATGAAATGGCTAGATGTTATGACGTCCTCTAATTGAAATATCTCTAAAAGCATAGCATTAAGTGCTAGTTCGATGTGAAATTTTTAGGTTGTTTCTGCTATTTTTTTAAAGAAGCAGTGAAGAATGATTTTTTATGAGATTTATTTTAGTAATTATTGAAACTATTGTTGCTTTTAAAAGATGTTTTAGAACCAAACTGAAGATGCTTTTAAAAGAAACTTATGTTTTTTGTAGTTGTAATATCATATACACTCTTTAAGTTTTGATATTATTATTTTCTCCATTCTTATATTACATTGTCTATTTTGATAACTAAAGTTATGTCTATTTTGATAACTAAAGTTATGTCTATTTTTATTATTTTCACTTAAATGATCTTGAAATACAGTTTTATCAAACATCTTACTGCTTTTGGAAGTAGCTTACAATATACAATTACTAAACAACTATTTTCAACATTTTATATAAGTTGTTTAGACAAGCAATTTAAGCAACTCATTGTAAGCTACAACAATGC